TAAAAAAAAAAAAAGAAAAAAGAAAATGTATTACACTCAATAACATCACACAATTATGAAGAACCACAAATTGTATATATTCTCAACAACCACTATTAATCTTAATGAGAAATTTCACATAAAGCAAATTTGTCAAAGTGAAATAGCCACACTCTTTAACTCTTTTAAATCACAATAGTTTACTTAACTGCAAATGGGGAGCTAGTACAGCTAGAAATTGGCCAAGTTTATTAAAATGCCTAGTACACTCTAAATCACCATATAAGACGTAATTCCTACTTACCCTACCTCTATTGCTACCAAACTCTTACTTTATGTGCCTTTTTCTAATGAACTTAAACCCAACTCTAACTAAAAATGACAGCCTTCTTGATCACTAAAGCCAATACACTTACCTCAGCTCACAGGCTCCGCAAACTCCCTACAACACTGGACCCTGTTGATATCCCTTCTTCTTGCCATTCCTTTGCCTTCCTTAACAATGAACTCTTGGATTGCCACCTCCTTCTTCTTTTCTACTCTGTCTCTGCTGACTGCTTCTAAAAGTAGACATTTTCAAGAAACACAGGTACACCACACACATACCACACAGAGTTCTCTCTTCAGAGAGAACTGCTTCTTCCTCATCAGGGAAGCACTCTCTATCCTGCAGACTAGAGCCCTCATTTGCCACCTAGGGGCACCAGGTGGCCAAGCTAGGGGGACCACCTTCCACCCACGCAATAGTTACCTGCAGCAATCAATGGGAAACCAGCCGCACTAGGGGAACCAACCAGACCAAAATAGCCATGCAAAGATTTTGAAAACCATATTGTCACTGGAACCATAAGTCACAAAAGAAGATCAGGGCCTGCATGCTAAATCTAAACAGGATGAATGACTGCTAAAGTAGATTTCAGTTAAGATTTAAAATTTAACATAACGGACAAAATGTCCAGGATAAAAGGAAAAATCACTTGTCACAACAAAAATGAGGAAAATCACAGCATGAATGAGAAAAGACAATCAACAGATACCAACACTGAGATGATTTACATGTTGGAATTATCTGATAAGAATTTTGAAGTCACCATCATAAAAAATGCTTAAACAAGTAATTAGATAGCCTTGAAACAAATGAAAACACAGAAAATTTCACCAAAAAAAATGCAAGATATAAAAGGAACCAAATGGAAATCACAGAACTAGAAAATACAATAACTTGAATTCTTAAAAACTCACTGGAAGGGCTCAATAGCAGAATGAATATGATGGACAGAAGAATCAATTAATTTAAAGACAGAATAAGAATTCAGTCAATCTGAAGAGAGAAAACAAATTGAAAAAAAGATAAGCAAAGCTTCACGGACCTGAGGTGTAGTAACAAAAGATCCAACATTCATATCATCAAAGTCTCAAAAGAGGAGAAGGAGAGTGAGAATGGAAAAAATATATGAAAAAATAAAGACTGAAATTTATAAAATTTCCTAAAAACATACACCCACATACCAAAGAGCTAAGTGAATGCCAAACAGGATAAACTCAAAGAAATTCACATCGAGTACCTCATAATTAAAATTCTGAAAACTAAAGACAAAGAAAAAACTCTTGAAAGCAACCAGAGAGAAACAATCTAGAGGGGAAAAACAATTCAAAGGACAGATTTCTTATTGAAACCATGGAAAACCAAAAGGAAATGAGAATATTTTTCAAGTGCTAAAAGAAAAGAACTACCAACCCTAAATTCTATATTCAGCAAAAATATCCTTCAGAAGTGAAGAGGAAATGAAGACCTTCTCAGACAATGGAAAACTTTAAGAGAATTCATCACCCAAAGATCTACCCTTTAAAAATGGCTAAAGGAGGCTCTCCAAATAAGAAAGAAATATAACAGGAGAAGCCTTAAAACTGTAGAAAGGAAGCAAGAACAATGGATTAGATAATGAATGAATGAATGAATGAATGAGTGAATGAACAACTATCTCTTCAAGATGGTGGAGTCACAAAATATAACTCCATTTGATGTGATCTTCAATGCATGTACAGAAGTACTCAAGACAATTATATTTAAAAAGTAGGAAGATAAAAAGAACCTAAATGCAAGTAAGATTTCTATATGTCACTTGACATGGTAAAACACTGATATCAGCAGGTGATGGTAAATTATATATGTATATTGTAATATCTGGAGCAACCACTAAGAAAACTCCACAAAGTGATAGACTCAAAAATGTTATTATAAATACATCAAAACTGGGGCACCTGGGTGGCTCAGTTGGTTAAGCATCTGCCTTTGGCTCAAGTCATGATCCCAGGGTCCTGGGATCAAGCCCCATGTCCAGCTCCCTGCTCAGTGGGGAGCCTGCTTCTCCCTCTCTCTCTGCAGCTCCCCCTGCTTGTGCTCTCTCTCTGTCAAATAAATAAAATATTTTTAAAAATAAAATAAAATAAAAATAAATCAATACATCAAAATGGCATCCTTAAAACGTTCATTTAACCAGAAAAAGTAAATAAAAGAAATAGAAGAATGAAAAACAGATGGAACAAATAAAAATCAAACAATAAGATGGCAGATTTAAGTCATATCAATAATTTACCTAAAGATATTAAATAAAGACAGATTGGCAGAGTGGATTTTAAAAAATACAACTGAATAATACACTGTCTGCAATAAACTCATTTTAAATATAAGACGGGTTGGGCGCCTGGGTGGCTCAGTTGGTTAAGCGACTGCCTTCAGCTCAGGTCATGATCCCAGGGTCCTGGGATCGAGTCCCGCATCGGGCTCCCTGCTCTGCAGGGAGCCTGCTTCTCCCTCTCCCACTCCCCCTGCTTGTGTTCCCTCTCTCACTGTGTCTCTCTCTGTCAAATAAATAAATAAAATCTTAAAAAAATAATAATAATAAATAAATAAATATAAGACGGGTTGAAATGGAAAGGCCTGAAAGAGATATACCATGTGAATGTTAATCAAGGAGAAGTGGTCATATTAAATATCAGATAAAGTAAATTTCAGACCAAAGAAATTTGCTAGAAACAAAGAGGGACATTAATAAAGATAAAAGGATCAATCCACCAAGAAAATATAATGATCCTGAATGTGTGCAAGCCAATTTCACCTATAATATTTCTGCCAATACCTTCAAAATTCATTTTGACAAGCTCCTTCCTAAATGTGGCTGATGCTAAACATCCTTTTGTCTTCCCTCCTTTATCCCTTCTTTTCACCATCACTATCCTCTCTGAGTTCCTATTTCTGTTAATAATGTGTGGATTGTTTTCAGCTACCCAGACTGAAATCTCAATCATTTTTATCAGATTTTGTGACTCTTCCATTCCAGCGTTTCTGACATAAAGCCCCCAAAGATATTCCCAGTGTGGTGACCCTACACAAGTTCAGGCTTTCATCTCATAATACCTCCTCACTGGTCTCTACTCATTCCAGTTCAGGTTAACTGTCCTAAGTGCAACACTAAAATAATTATTATTGCCTCCCAAACAAAATACCTGTCCTGATTTATCAGGTTTTCTGAGCTTTGCCCACAAACTGTCACTGCTCCATTTGTTCCAGTCTAGCTGGATCTCACTGGTCCCTAAAAAGGCCTCCATGCTTTTCCATCTTTGTAGCTCACTGACCAGAATGCCCTTCTTCCATGTCCATCTGGAAAAATACCTTTCAAGGCTCTACATCATGAAGGTGGTATTTAGTAGGCATTGAGCATGAAATGTCATCATCCTCACCAGACATACATAATGTTTTTTTTAAATCTTCATAAGAGAATGTACCTTTCTTATGGTACTTACATATGCTACCCTGTCTCTATTGATTTGTGTCTTTGAATTCTCTCCCCTAAACAGTAAGTTCCCAAAGACACCAATATCATCTTTATCTTTGTACCCTGCACAGCCACCCTCCACAGTGCCAAGTAAAGTGCACTGTGCATATTAAAGCTTTAATAAATATTTGTAGACTATACTTTCAGGGATCATTTCTACAGTTTGTTGAATAGTTTAAAAGCCAACCCTCCTTCTACCAAAATATTTCTTCCCTCTTTCTGCATCACAGCTTTGAATTTTCATCATTCAAACCTAAAACATTAATATTAGTTAAACTCATTACCTGTCCTAGAACATAAATGATTCTATGTACAAGAAAGTAGGTTTCTTATTATGCAAAGCAGAATATACATAAATGCATTTATAGTATATATATATATGTACTTGTATAAACCTTATATGTACATAATTTATAGATTCTGTTTAGATTTTCAAATAACATTCTTAGTAAAATCTCATAAAAATTGACATTGAAAAGTTGGATTAAAGGTCTAAATACATCCTTAAAATAACTTATTTAAGCTTTCTTGGTCTTTTAACTATAAAAATCGTTTAACCAAGCAACGTGAATAGAAAGAGACCTGAACTATTAGAAAGAACGTACTTTTGCCTAGCCTGTATGCATGATTTTTTTGTCGAGTTTTCAGTGACCAGAGGCCCCGCCTCAGTTGGTCTCCACAGCTGCTTGCACTTGCCCAGACCACCTCCATCTGCAACACCGTGTGCCCAGGAAACAAAATCAATTTAGAGTACTGACCCAAGCAAAATGTAATTTTGAAAATGCAGCACATATTTAAAATATGTGGTGGATCCCAAAACCATGATTATGTTGTACTCTACACTCTATACTATGTAGATCACTACTGCCATTAATTACTGCAATTAACTGTACACATAATTATGTTTTACTGCTAATTTTACACCAGTGAATTTCCATTTCAAGAAAAACATTAGCATTTGTTTCTAATTAAATATTTATTGTTTGTGTTTTACAGACCCAACATCAGGTTCTTCTTTAGACTGGGCTTACAACCTGGGCATCAAACACACATTTGCCTTTGAACTCCGAGATAAAGGCAAATTTGGTTTTCTCCTTCCAGAATCTCTGATAAAGCCAACCTGTAAAGAGACCTTGCTAGCTGTTAAGTTTATTGCCAAGTATATCCTCAAGCATACTTCCTAAAGAAGTGGCCTCAGTTTGGAATAAGCCAATTAATCCTTCTTTGTGCCTTTTACCAGAAAGTCAATCTTCAATTATCCCGAGATATAACTTCCACATTACATGAATAGGTCCCTCTCTTGCTCACTTAAGTCCTACGTTAATTCTTTTTGCTTTTATTTACTCTTAATAGCACCTTAACAAATAGCTTTAAGTGAAAGCTTTCAACTATCTTTCTTTGCTCCAAATAAAGTTCGAACCCAGCAAAAAGTATATTTTGAGTATTCTGAAACATGATATACAGTGGGTCACAGAAAAGAAATGAGAACCTTCTCCAGAATCAGATTTTCCATGTGGCTTCAGCATTTCATGTAATAATATAATAAAATAAATTGTATTCCAAAATGCATCTTCTGTTTTTTTATAAACTATACTCTCTACATTTCTCTATTAGCGTTAATAATCAAGCATTAATGTGTCTCATGCAGTCGGTTAATAAGAAATAATATCTTCAATTCAAAAACATATTTTGCCTGCATATATATTTATTTTTAATAGAAGCAGACATTGTTTATATCTTCATAATAGCAAAAGGATGTCCTAGCAGGAAATAAAGTGGTTCATACAGAGATGAATCTCAGTGCTTCAAACAATCAATCCAGTTCTCATCAACATAACATACATTAAATTCAAAATAGTTTAATTTAACATGCCATAACCCAAGAAAACTACCTGCCAAAACATCTCTTGGTAGTTACTGACACAGCCAAGACAGTCTGGTCAGATGTGAGCCCTGCCCTCATAATAGATGGGGGAAAAAGTCTGGAAATGTAGTACAAGTGTAAGAGAGAAAGTCATGTTGACCAAGGACAGAGTAACTTAAACTTTTATACTGCTTATAATCCTATTGCTTAAGACAGAGTTACAAAATATCTCCCCTCACCCTGCCCCCAGCACCATGATTTTTCAATGCCTCATCATGTGACTACAGCAGTGCCTACATTCTAGAAATCCAGAACACAGATGCCTGACCAGAATTTGAGGGACAAGTAAAGAGTTCCTTGACTTCCTATAAACTGACTTCTCATAACACTGGACAAAATTTTTGAAGATCCTGAGAAACCAGGAAAACAAATAATCTGGGACATTCCTCATTAATCCTTTAGGGGTCCATAAAAGAAAGAATGCCATCAAATCTACAAGGTGATGAGTATTTCTGATAGTTATGAGGTAGGTAAAAGTTTCCCATGCAAAATTGTCTAGAGGAAACCAATATAAACTAACAAAATTGCTTTACAGGTACAGCGGGGAAAGGTGACAGAGTCAAGAAAGTAAAAGGCAAAACAGTGGTTATGAGATTACATGGCCTCTTATAAAAAAAAATGTTGGGCTTTCCTGGACATGGGAAAAGATCATGGACAGAGAACTCTTCTTGATTCCACCACATGGTTCTCTCGGTACTATAAACTAATCTTTTACCATTAATATAGAAAAGGTAAATGGGAGTTTTTCTAAAAAAGAATATGTATTGGTTCCAAAAATCTGCAATGAAATGTGGTAGTATTAAACTGATGTTGGTTTCCCAAGATACAAATAATACAAAGCACTAGCAGTAAGCAATCTCAGTTGAACACTCATTTATTTGAGCATCTATAAGAAACAATGGGGTTCAGAAACTGCCAGACTTTAAAAACTTCTAGTTGTCCTCTAAAATCTATTCTTCCTTCTTCCCTAGTAATAGGTCTCCTAATTCTGAACTGGTACATGGCCACTCAAAGTCTCAAATTCAAAACTTCCCTTTCAAAACGAGGTGGCTCTTGAACTGTTCTGGCCAGTGAGTTGGAAGAACAAACATCATGCGGCAAAGTCTAGGCAGCTAACTTCAAAGACCTGTGGCATATTCACTTTGGTCCTTCTTCTCCATCCCTCTTTCTTTCAGACTGAAATAGAATTGTGATAACTGATGCTAAGCAATCATCTTGAACCATAAAATGCTCTCAAGAACTGAAGCAAAAAAATATGATAGTAGAAGCCTATGCTCATGACAATTAGCACAGCAGTTCCAGATGTGTCCTGGGTGGAAATCCTTGGAGAGTAATGTGTTATATAAAATTACAGGACTAGAAATCAGAAAGAGTTTGGGTTAGAATCCTGAATCTACCACCAACTGATATCCAGTAAGACACAGTCACCCTTGTCTGACCTGCTTATCTTCTAGATTTTTGTTAGTATCTGAAATAATAAATGCTCACCAAGGTAAGCCACTAATTTCCATTTTGTTTCTTTTTGGGACAAAGCACACTTATCTTTTTATTTTTTTTTAAAGATTTTATTTATTTAATTGACAGAGAGAGAGAGAGAG